GCCTCCTCCTTGTCTGTCTCAGTCTGCAAGCTGCTGAAACCTGTGTACCAGGTGCAACCCAACTGGGACTGAGACACCAGTTGCACAGCCCCAAGCCTCAGAGCAAAATGCCACCACAGTAGGACAAATTGACAAACAAGTTTGTCTCCCTTAGCTGTTCAAAACCTCTCTATCCTCCCCAACCTCCCCTTACACAGATCCCTGCCTCTTTTCCGCCGCTTGAGAGGGTCGTGGCCTGGGTTCCTGGCCTTACCTGGATCCCTGCCTCTGCTTCCTCGCTCCGTCCTGGTAGCCTCCCCACCCCCTACTTTTTCTCTACTTTTCCGCTGCTTGGGAGGGCCATGGCCTGGGTCCCCGGCCTTATCTGGATCCCTGCCTCTGCTTTCTAAGAAATTAGGAGTATTAAATACTTATCAGATTAGCTGAGCTGCAAATTAGACACACCTGAAGAGAAAATGAGTAAAACAAGGATATTAAAGGACAAGCATGGATGGTAAGTGACAAAAGGACAGATGTTGTAGAACAGAGAATATACTTAATTGGAAATCCAATTAAAGAACAAATGGGAAAAACATAATGTATAATAAAAAACTTATACATATCCATACACATCATAATGTGCTCATGAAAAATCTGTACATAGACCAAGAGGCAGTCGTTTAAATAGCACAAGGGTATAAAATCGGGAAAGGTGTGCATTAGGGTTGTACCCTTTCACCATACTTACTCAATCTTGGTAAATAATCCGAGAAGCTGGATTTTATGACAAATATAGCATCAGGATTGGAGGAAGCTTCACCTGTGGTATGCAGAAGACAACTTGGCTTGCTGAAAGTGAAGAGGACTTGAAGCATTTTCTGGTGAAGATCAAAGACTACAGCCTTCAGTGTGGATTACATCTCAACACAAAGAAAACTAAAATCATCACAACTGTACCAATAAGAAACATTATGATGAATGTAAGTGGAGAAAATAACTTGAGTTGTAAAGGATTTCATTGTATTTGGATGCAATCAGTGCCCATGGAAGCAGCAGTCAAGAAATCAAACATATTGCATTGGGCAAATCTGCTGCAAAAGATCTCTTTAACACATTATAAAACCAAGATGTCACTTTGAGGACTAAGGTGGACCTGACCTAAGCCAGAGTATTTTTGATCTCACATGCACACAAAAGGTAGACAATGAATAAGTAACACCAAAGAATTAAGGCCTTTGAATTATGGTGTTGGCAGGGATACTGAATAAACCATGGACTGCCAGAAGAGCAAGCAACTCTGTCTTGGAAGAAATACAGCCAGAATGCTCCTTAGAAGCAAGGACAGTGACACTGACTGTCTCACATACTTGGACACGTTATCAGAAGAGACCAGTCCTTGGAGAAGGACATCATCCTTGGTCGAGTTTCAATGAGATGGTTTGACACGGTGGTCAACCAATGGACTCAAACATAGCAGTCTGATTGTGAAGGCAACGTTTTGTTCTGTTGTACACAGGGTCTCTGTCTTGGTTCTCTAGTGCTGCTGTAACAGAAATACCACAAGTGGATGGCTTTAATGAACAGGAATGTATTCGCTTACAGTTTAGGAGGCTAGTAGTCTGAGTTCAGAGTGCTGGCTCTAGATGCTGTGTGAAGGCCTCTCAACCTTGGGCTTCAGCTCTGCCTCTTGTTCCAGGCCTGCTGGAGCTGGAGGCTTCTCTTAACTCATGAAGCTGCTGGCTGCTGAGGCTGACAAACCCAAGAACAGCAGGTAAAATGGCTCAAGCCCAACATCAGCAGGCAACATGGCAGGCCACCGGTTCAAGTCTAGCAAGTGGAGATGGAGACTTGGCCAAGTGCAGGACCCAAAATGTGCCAACACAAGAGACCTCCTCAAAGCTTCACCATAAATACTAGAAGCAGATTCTACCATTGAGCTAATTACAATCTCATCATGGGGAATAACTATATCCAACTACCCAGCCACTCAAAAGAAAGGCCCATACATAAGAAACAGCCAAGTTGACACATAACTGATTCAACAGCACCTAACAACAACATAATAATATAGAATGTGTTTTTTTTCCCAAAAATTAATGATGGATGTCAAACCAGATTCAAAAAGCACTGACCCCTAATAACGAAAAAACACACGCAAACTTCGGCATTTTACAGTGAAACTTCTGAAAACTGAAAGCAAAGAGAAAAAAAATATATGACTTTTAAGGTCATGTGTTATGACCTTAGAGTCACAATAGAAAAGAACTGGTTTGTTTTTTGACTACTAGCCAAAAACATACAAACACATGCCAAAGAGCCATATATCTCAGCTGCTTATGCCAGATAAATCATGTCCAGCTTTTAACAAAAAATTACAAGGCATGCCAAAAGGCAAAAAGTAGTCTTAAGAGACAGAGTAAGCATCAGAAACTTAGAGTAGTGGGATACTTTCATTTTTCTCCCATCATCTTTGATAATACTGTTACACATTTCACTTTGATGTTACTTACCACACAGTATCTTATTATTTTTTGCTTTAAATAATCCATTATCTTCTAAAGAAAATTTAAAATTAGACAAAATGTCTTTTAGATTTGCTCACATATTTGCCATTCCTGGTGTTCTTCCCTCCTTTGCACAGATGCAGATTTCTATTTGGTATGTTTCCTTCTGATTAAAGGCATTAACTTTTCCTCTTAATAGTACAGTCTGCTTGTATTGAACTCTTTCAGTAGTTCTGGATTGGAAAAGTTACTTCACTTTTTTGAAAGATATTTTCATTGGGTATTGTGGTGGTTAAGTTTGTGTCCTGGGCAGCTGGACATAGTGATGAGACTGGTAATCAGCTCCATGGTGGATTCTATTAGGAGCAGCTGAGTAGCTGCCTTTAGATATGTGGTCTGCTTCCCATATATAAGAAACAGCTTTGGGAATGGTCTCTAGCTTATGGCATGCTTGAACCCTGCATGTAGTCGTGTCATTGTTCAGCAGCCTGACAAGATCTGCCAACCTTGGGATTTCCAATGGACTTGAATTAATGGTTTGATAACATTGAGACTGTGCCATTTTATTTGTCGACCTGGGGCTTGTCAGCTTTAGCAGCCAGTAGCTGCCTGAGTGAAGAAAAGCCTCTAGCTTCAGTGGGCCAGGAGCAGGAGGCAGAGCTGAAGCCCAAAGTTGAGGGGCTTTCCTACAGCCCTAGAGCCTGGCACTTGGAACTCAGACTTCTAGCCTCCTGAACTATAAGAGAATAAACTCCTGTTTGTTAAAGCCATCCCATTTGTGGTATATTCTTGTCAGAGTGGCACTAGGGAACCCGAACAGGTATAGAATTCTAATTTTTTTTTTTTTTCTCTTTCAGTGCTTTAAAGAACATTCCTTTGTCATTGGTCTTAAGCAATTTTACTATGAAACACCTTGGTGTTCACTGAGTTTCTTGGGTCACATTTATTTCCTTCTTTCTGGGATCAATGTCTTGTGGGACCTGGTGTCCAATAGCTGAAAACTATTTAATGAATTTTGTCCGTTTTCAAAAAATTTAAAGTGGGAAGCCAAGTACAACCAAACGAAAAGCCAAACCCACTGCCATCAAGTTGATTCCGACTCATAGTGACACTACGGGAACACAGCAGAACTGCCCTACAGGGTTTCCAAGGTTGCAAATCTTTATTGGAGCCTACCGCTACATCTTTCTCCCATGGAGTGGCTGGTGGGTTTGAACTTCTGTCCTTTCTATTAGCAGCCGAGTGCTTTAACTACTGAGCCATCAGGGTTTCTAAGCTAAGTCCAATATCAATTATTTCATCTTGGTCAGAGGAAAAAGTCCAATTTTAAGTCTGCTATTTTACCACATAGAATCTTATTTTTTGTATTTAATTTAGCTTTCAAATTTCATGACAAAAATGATCCATCTAAACATATAAAGATCCTTAAGTTGTTTTATTTATCTCACCCCTTTTAGTACATATTATGTGCCTTTAGAGAAAAAAGACTATGAAAATAATAGTAGATTTTAATACAGCATATAAGCAAAACACACTAATATCTATGCCTTCTAAACCTGTTCAATAATGATATATAAGGAAACTTGTTACAAGTCATAATGGTTTTATAATGTCAGGACAAGGATCACATTAGCACTCCCGTATGCGTCAATATATTTTCTGAGCCTTACTGGGAAAAAGTAGAACTCTTGTTTAATTATTGAATGTATCCTTAAAAACTTCTAACACTTTGGAAAACTATAAAGTTAGTAAGCTACCTACATTTTTTTTTAGTAAATATTTTCACCTCAGAAGTCAAAAGTGGATGTGAGCACTGTATACATTGTACATAGTTTGAATCTTTGGGACAAAGAAGGTCAGGAACCCAGTAGCCCTCTAATTTTATACTATTGAAACTGCAGGCCACAGCAGGTAAGTATATACACCCAGCCACTGTAAAAGAACTGAAAATTCTTTGATAATTAACTTTTCCAAATAATTTTATAGTAAGGCCAATAATATAAAAATAGTACCCAAAGCACACAAAGAATTGGAGAAAGCTAATGATAGGAACTGCAAACTGAACAATTCAAACTTGACATTTTGGGGAAAAAAATGGCAAAAATACTGTAATATTTAGTATCTAATATGAAAATTTCACTGGCTATAAGTTGAATCATTTTGACTGGAACTTTACAGTATAATTTGCATGTTACTGATTTATAAGAAAATCAGCAGATATGCAGCTCTGGTTGAGTCTTAAAAGCCCTTAAAAGTTCTTCATAGGTAAAGTGAATGCAACAAAAATAATCAACTATGAGAAGAGATGTGTCAGGAATACAATACACTAACATGCATAAAATAGATATAATTTAATCTGTGCAATTAAAAATTCAAAAAATTGTCTTGTCAAATGTACAAGTGATAAATAAGTCATGCTTGACATCACTGGGTTAACAAAATAATCACTAACCAACTCTGTTTGTTTTATTACTCAATTGCTTAGAAATACCAAATACCATTTTAAAATTACTTTTGCCATAAAAATAGAGGGCATATCAAACTCTTTAATCTTCAAACACTCCAAAAAATTTGGAAGGTTATTTGTCAATCAAAAATATATCTATTAAAAAAAGTGATTAAAAAGTATACATAACCAATTGTTTCATGCACACTTTTCTTCTTATGAAAAAGGGCACTTAGTGTAAAGCTAAAGCTTTCTGAAAATAAAAATCCTGTTGACTTTCCTATTAGGCAGACAACATATTACGCACTGTTTTTAATATAAAAATATAAATATTTTTAACAAAGAAGAAATAGCAATTTGTGAAAAAGCCTGTCATCACCCTTTTGTGTGAAAACAAAATTTTCCAGAGGCCAAAGAAACAATACTGATTATATGTACTTCTGTGTTGCCATAAACAATCCCAAATTACAAAATAATAAGGTATGAACTGAAATTTCAATAGTGAGCACGTAGTCTTTTATTTTCTTCTCTCAGTCTTTCAATTTCAGCCACTAATCCTTCATTCACTGAATATCTTTCCAGCAAAGAGTGCATTTCATTCTAGAAAAGGGAGGAAAAAAAATCTTTGTTAAATTATTGGTATTTATCTGGCAAACTATGTTTTACACCTACTCCTCCTCATTTATCAACTACCTTGTTATCCAACATTTCACATTCATGAAAATAGTTAAAAATCTACTGCCTGACTCTTCTGCACATCAACAAGGCAGCAGGCACAGTGGCAATGCCTGTGGAGCATCCCCTTCCTCAAGGAGGATCTCCAGATGGCCGCCAGGAAGCTGGGCTACACTGGGCTGCCTGGAACTCTCCACTCCCTCCTTCTAGTGGCAGCGGTACTGTGTCTAGCTGCCAAATGGGGCCAGCCTCCTCTGTGGCCATCATCACAGCCTCCAGGAGGATGTGTACTCAGCCAGTGAATGCCTGTTCTGGGTTCCTAACACCTAAGCAGTCTGAGGCCCTTTAGCCCAAAATTGCTGTGTGGTGGTAAGGGAGGAAAGAAAAGAAACAAAGGCATTGGAGAAGGTGTTTGGGAGGAATGCATGGGAGTTTTACAACATCCCAAAGTGAGCTGAACTGGGCCCGAAGCCTCTGCATCAGTGGGGCTGGGTGCGAAGCCAGACCCCCAGCACCCCTATAGGATGCCCTGAGCCTCAGTGACTTGCCAGGCCTAGAGGGCAGAGCAGGCTCTGAGGATGTGAACACAGGGCTTGCAGGGGTGGGCGTGGGGGTCCTGCAGGTGGCTCTGGGAGGGAAGCTGTGACTCAGCACTGGAGAAAGGAGAAGCGGTTCAGCCACAGGCCCTCCAGCCACACAGCCAGCTTCATCCAGCTATGCCTCCTCCAGGCCTTCTCTTCCACAGAGGAGTAACTGGACTCATTACAGTGATGAGCACATCAGTAAATCTTAGTTGTTATTATCTCTAAGATCATATTTTCTAAGAAAAAAATTAAATCAATGGTATGAAAAAAGGAAAAAAATATCCTTCATTTCACATAACACCAATTTTCTCACTGGAACCTAACCATGTCCAATAAGTGAGCAGTGGGTGTTTATTCTTTCAGCTATCATTTCTCTCACTTTCAATGCTAAATGATATTTCTTGCACATAACTGCCATTATTACTTTCTTAATATAAATGAAAAATCATTAGTGAAATTCACATCTGGGAGGGCTGTGAAAAGTGGCCTTAAATATCACAGGTTAAAAAAAAAGGGTGAGCAATTAGTATCTATTTTATTTGTTATGTTTCTAAAACTCTTGTATTTATTTAGCTGGCAAAGAGATATAATAACTAAGTAAAAACTACTTTGCTCTGTAATGGATTTGGGGGATCTACTCCATTCTACAGGCATTCATACATACCAACTGCATATGGAATTGTTTAATCATCTCCACCTGCAAATTCACAATGTCCCGATGGCACGCTTCCCTAGGGAAGAATATAAAATACTTATTAGAATTGTAACCATTTAACTAATCCTAGATCATTTAAGAAACTGGCTAAACATTCTTCATCGTTTCAAATTACTGGCTGTTAATAATTATGATTACATAGTAAAAGTAACACCTGACACTTATTTACTATGTCCTTAGCACTGTTCCTGAACATTGTAAATGTAACAAATCACTTAACTTTCACTACTAGGTGCAATTATTACCTCCACTTTACCAATGAAGTAACTGGAACTACAGTAGGTTAAAACTTGTGCAAAATTACAGAGCCAGTAAATGGTGGAACCACAGTATAAACCCAGGCTGTCCACCTTCAGAATTTCCCTATACGAAAACTCCCTTATACAGAAATGATCATTAAGGAAAGACATAGGCTTACATTACAATGAGATACAGACAATTCCCTAGGTTACAAAGATTCATCTGATTATTGATGTTTTATATCCTGTATTTATTTCTGGTAGAATGAAAATGAGCTATTTGGGTAGTTACAAAATGGCTGTATCAATAGATGAAATAATCATGCTTTCAAAATACATGAAAATTATTAAGTATAATAGCAAAACGAACACTCAGACATCCTGTATACATGTTAGGAGCGAGATTACCACCAAAATCATGTGTGAGCTCATCTCACACTCTTAGAAGAAGCCCAAGAAGTCACCATTCTCCTGAAGTTTGTTTAGCAAGAAATGCCTGTTTTAAAACACAGCTGGATAACATGTAACGTGTAGTCAATAATATTTTAGTTATGCTTGCTTTTGAGCATCATAAGAAGGGTAGCATACCCTATGCAGTCTTTGATGCTGACTTTTTCTTAAAAATTCAACTTTATGTTTTTAAGATCCATGTTGTTCTATCTGTAAGTCACTGGTTGGAACTCTGCTATATCATCCACCCATTGTCCTGTCAGTTGGCAACAGGACAGTTCCAAGTTTTATCATTACAATGTTATAAACAATCTTATCTCCCCATGCACATTTTGCTAATTTCTTTAGGTGATATCCAGAGTATGCTGGGTTATAGGTACGAGCCAAACGTATACTTGTTCAATTTTATGGAACAATGAAAATTGTTTCCAAAGTAGTTAATATTACTGGGCATGCCCATCACCAATCAGTATAATAGAGTTCCTCTTGCTATACATCCTCACCAACACTTGCATTGACAGATTTTTTAAAAAAAAAATAAACGATTTTTTCCCAGTGTGATTTAGCATTGCATTTTCAGTTCTAAGTGATCATGAGGTGGAGTAACTTATATTCAGCATTCTTCTTCTGTGAAATGTCCATTCATGTCTTTTAACTATTTTTATACTGACTTTTTCTTATTTGTTTATAAAAGTTCTTTATGTATTCTAATCCTTTGTTGATTACATGAGTACTACAAAAAATTGCTACAAAAAATGAGGTTTTTTTAAATTTATTTTTTATTGTGATTTGGGTGAAAATTTACAGAGCAAATTCACTTTCCATACAGCAGTTCATGTACACTTTGTCTCATGACATTGACCACAATTTACCACGATGCAACAGCTCCCCTCCCACTTCCTCCCTATAGTTACCACTCTTCCCTGTGTCCATCCCTCCATGCACTACTGCCCCCTGAGCTGTCTCCCTGTGCATAAGCAGCCCTTCTTTCTCCCATGTTTGTTTTCTCCAAGGAGTGTATCTACCTCAGGTAAATGTTCAACTCATATGCCTGTCTGTTGTTTGGCTGGAAACCACAGGTGTGGGTTCAATTCCAGATCTGATGAGCAGCTAGGGGCCAAAGTCTCAGTGGTTCCACCAGGCTCTATTGGACCAGCAAACCTGGCCCCCCCCTTTTTATTTTTTCTCCAAATGATTTTGAGTTATCTTCCACATTGTTCTCCCTCTCTATCAAGGATCTCCTACACAGATCCCCTTCCAAGTGAATGACAGTGGTAGCCAGGCACCATCTAGTTCTTCTGGTCTCATTGTCGTATAGGCTGCAGATCAGATGGTGTACCTGTCGCTAGGACTAATTGTTTCCATGAATTTTTGGTTTTCTTCATTCTTCTTTGCTCTGGATGAGGAGAGACCCATTGTTGCATCTAGATGGCAGCTTGCTAGCTTTTAAGATTCCAGTCACTACTCACTAAAGTAGGAGGTAGAACAATGTTTTCTATAGTATGTTATACCAATTGAGCTTGATGTCCCCTGCGACTCTGGTCTTGAGCCCACAGGTTCAACTGCTCAGTCCATCTGGGTAGCTGGCTGTGACCAAGAAGTGACTGACCCTTGTCGGCTCTACTATACACCTGGGAATTCTGTTCATTCACATAAACTTGTAGGACCATTGTCTGCCAACCCTATACATGGTCTTGGATATACTCTCCATTCATAGACATACCTAATAGTTCAGTCTGTCCACCCATCTATCCACCCGTATACCCATGTTTGTCTTCAATGACAACTCAGTACTGTATGTGCAAAAGGGTTCATCTTGGTTGTCTGTACCTCCCATGTACCTCTCTCTTTCTCTTCCTCAATGCCACCATATTGTCACTCACATTGGGTACATTGCCCGTCTCTTCACCCAAATCAATACTTATCTCTATCTATTTAACAGCGTCCCCTACCCTACCCTCCCACCCCTGGTAACCAACAAAGAAAATTTCCTTCCATAGATAAACCTTTCCTTGACTTTTACAATAATGGACTAACACAATATTTGTCCT